TCCCAGAACCAACTGCTTCAACACAGGATCCTCCAAATAAAGAGGCATGTTGCTCCTGGCTACCGGTTCATCAGCAAAGAGGCCTGCGTAACAACGTAGAGAAAAGACGTGCCTCAGCATCCCCGCCTCGCACTAGGAAAGACGTGGGGGGGGGAGAAGCGGCATCCACACAAGCCACCTTCTGTACCCGCAAAGGGGAAATGTTGATAGGCCCCTTGCTATGGCAATGGCTGTAAACCAATCATGCAAAATCAATCTAACTATACCTGCCATTCTGGGAGGCTTCCAAACATGCCAGCAAGATACCAATGCTCCGCTAGGTGTGTTGCAATCATTTGCTCCTCTGCAAACTAACCTGAAACTTGAACAAGTCCGCAAAAAGGGTTTCCCCGGTTTCCCCTCTTTAAACATGATAACTCGCGTTTTGATGCATTCCATGTTCCTTTTCAGGGGCTGAAAGGCTGAAGGCTTTCCGGGGGGATACCTCAGCCAGGATGCCGATGGTGGCGAACATGGCCACCCGGCCGTTCTTCAGCTCCGACTCCCTGCGGCGTCGGAAGGTCTCCACGTCCCCGTCCTTGGAGAGGCCCAGCGGGTCAAAGTAGCCCACAGGCGCCTCTCAGAGGCTCCATATACCAAAAAATGGATGGATGGCACGGCAAATTTTCCTGGCAAAAAAAACACACGTGCGAGGGCAAGTTTCTAGATATTCAGGTTCCACCAGCCTTGGCAGAAGAGAGCTGCGAAATGACGTAACTGCATGGTTGACTTACACAGAATTCCTGCTTAAGCGCATCCCGTTTGAAACCACCCCACCACCCAAGTCATGCTGACGACTCTGGCTGAATTAGTGTGCTTCACAAGCTTGAAAGAGGAACCTTCATGATCGGAGGAATCGGTTTCTGGACCGCACATTAGGGTATATAATGTGAACCTAAGCACCACCGTGCTTTCCCGTGCAAGGCAAACGCATATACTCAGTAGCCGTTGAAGGACTCCACCCCAGCCGACTTTTCCCAGGCCGTGCCTGCACTCCCAGCTCGCCCTCGAAGGCGCGCAGGGGGCTGTCCGTGTAATTGGCCCAATCGCCCCAGGCAGAGCCCGTCAGACCATCCTGCACATGTTCAACACCCTGCCAACGGTGCTACTCTGAGCTCTTGCGTCTTCCAGGCCTTCCCAGCTCACAAGTTCGCCAAAAGTGTACGGCGCGCTTTTGCCCTGATCCTTTGCAACTGCAGAAAAGCGGCTAAAGAGAAAGGGCACCATGCGATCACACCTGCAAGCCTCCCATGAGCCCTTGAGCTCGAGCATTCTCGAGCCTGGAAGAACATCCCGATGATGGCCATCATCGCCAGGCGCCCGTTGGCGAGCTCGGCGTTCAGCTTCTTTTTCTTGGTCTCCTCGTCCGTGATGGCCTTGCCGCCCAGGTACCCGGGAAGGCCCAGGAAGCCGTACCTTGCTAACATAGCAACTACCGGCCGTGGCTCAAAGGCAACCAAAATCACAGGTCAAACGGTTTCTTCTCCCCATCATACCCTTTGGAGCAAAGTAGGCCAATAAAAACCAACAAAAAGACAGCAGAGGTGAAGAGGTCCATTTTGGAGATCTGAGAGGCTCATAGTTGGTCGTGGACTCCCCGAAGAGGCGAGTCTGCAGCTTGCCTGGGGGGTTGCTGGGCACCTGGTGCATGAGCCACAGGTCGCAGATGCCGCAGAATATGGTGTACTGGAACCAGCCGACCGCTGGAACCTGTACTTCGACCAGCCAAACTCATGCCGCCCCGATAGATTACAAAGTTTAACAAAGGTCTTCAAAAAAGTCACTGCTGGTCACGCAAATGGCGTGATGCCAACTGCAACATGCCATGAACTTCACGGCAACTTCACACATACCTTCAAGATTCGGACACGCCTCTTTGCCTAACACCATGTTTCCTGATACATACGGCCAGGAACCTTGGTCACCGCCGCCAAGCCGTTGGGGATGTCTGCGAACTTGAGGTCGCTGCTGGGGGACAATAAGCCGGGGAATCGGACAAACTCCTACAAGGCAACCGGCGCTGGCGAGAAGAAGGCCATAAGTCCATTTTGAGGGAGGAAATTGGGCCACACACCTCCGAAGAGCGACGAATAGGGAGACGCTGGAAATCATTCAGCATTTTTCATGCCAAGCAATGTATATCTGAATGCAGATACCTCTGTATGTCTTCCATAGTCACCATTGCACCAGCAATGGTGCGATGCATGCTGGGGGACAAGGAGGCTGTAGAGGCCGGCTGCACATGCAGCGAAGGGTGGGAACACACGACAGTATTCAAAGCAGACAAGAATGGGCTTGAAGAACAAGGCATGACACAATTAACGGAAACAAACAAAAATGCAAAATGCATGAATTATATTTTGCAGTTTACATGTTGTTTGCAACATGGTTGCGCACCATGCTCGGACTTATTGAAGATCCCTTAAGGAGCCCCAAAGCAGCCCTACGCCCATGCCTTGCGAGAGGTTTGTGGTTGCTTACCGGTTGACGTAGGTGACAAGGGAATCAAAGGCAAAAATGCGCTCATGCAAGGGAAACGGAGGATGGCCAGGGCTTTTAATCCCAGAAGGGGTCGCTGAGCTGATTTTTTCTGTAGGAGGTACCATGGAATATGACCCCTGGTTGAATAAACCGCTGAGACGTTGGAAACAGAACAGAACAAACAAACAACTAACCAAACAAACAAACAAAACATATCAAAACCAACAACAAACACACAAGCAAACACGCAAACAATTTATTGGGGTGCTACTTGTCTGCCGCGGATCACTGGGATAAAAAGGGGCAGGGCTCGCAGGACACCTAATCTTCAACCTTGAATCACTCCTGTTCGGCCGAGCTAAGGCTTAAACATATTCGAAAGTTCAGCGAGGTCTTAATGAACCCAGTGACCCAAATGGTAGAACAAGAAAGGTTGGTCGATCCCCTTGTCAGCTAACAATCACAAACAACGCATTTATTTGACTCCCGAACTAACCAAGGCAATTCCTGCACGATGTAGCCGGTGCAGGCGAGCATGGCCACCCTGCCGTGCTTGATCTCCACCACCCGGCGCCGGTAGAAGTCCTTGGCGTCGCCGTCCGCCGTAAACCCGGCGGGGTCCCAAAATCCCACCGGAGCCTGGCGGAGAACGTGAACGACGTGTGTGTGTGTGATAGAAAACACTCTAACCTTGAAAAACACATAAGTCTCATATATGTATGGCTGAAAATCGATATTGTTTTTAGTGCAATGAGAAGATACCACATGTCACCAAACGTTGACCCAGCAAATGACGTCTTTGTAAAGAGATATTCACCCGCGGAAAGCAGCCCTGAGTTCCAAGGTGTCCAAATGACTGAGCCAACCCGTGGTGGAGTCCAACTTCCAAATGGATACCAAAGAGTAATCTGTTCGCAAATCTCTTTTCGCCCGAAGACCGAGGCCGACCTGGACGCCCAGCTCTCCCTCGAAGGCGCGCAAAGCAGGAGCTGTGCGTGTCTGTCGCGCGGCCGCCAGGGCAGAGACACCCAGGGCCACCCCCACAGTGCTCAGCACACTGGAGCTGGCACCAGCACTGCCGTTGCCTGCCAAATTGGCTCGAAAAAAACAACGTTTGGCCACCAGCATGGTGGCATGTAGCCCTGAAACACCACCGGTCCAACAAGAAAAGGAAGTTCGCCAAGGCAGCCAAGTTGCTGGCGCTGGCTGCGTTGCGGAGCGCAGGGCCTCGCGTGGTCTGAGGCAGCGCCACGAAGGCGGCCGCGCTCGCCACGGCACCAGCAGCGGCTGCAGTCTTGGAGAGGCGGGGGGCCATGGTCGAGCCAGCGAAAGTCGCGGGTGCCGACGCGTGATGCTGAGCTCGAGCAAAAAATGGCACTGCACAGTGCTCTCGTTGGTTGTGCCAAGCTGCAACCATTGCACAAAAGAGAACCGCAGATACGTACATCAAGAGAACAAGCATTCAGGTTGGCGAACCAACGGACGAACCGCGCGGAAACAAGCAACATGAGAAAGCAATCATGCACGCCGCCACACACAGAGCAAGCCAACCAAAACATACAGGAGTACCAAGCACCAATGCAACACCAAGAAAAAACAACGATCCGACGAGCAAAAAAGCCAAGCTGCAAGGCCCAGAAGTTGCGCCTCGCTGCACCACACATCCTGCAGTGCCCAGCGGCCCTTCGCCACACCGCCGAAAACGAGGAGTCGGGTGCCCAAGGCAACCAGGGCATGGTCGCAGCGCGCCGGCCACGCCGCCGCATAGGACGACCAGTCGACAGGCTCGAGGGTCATGGCGAACATGGGCTCCCTGGCGCCATCAAGAAAATGAACTTTGATGTAACCTGAGACAAATCGGTGTGGCCCTATGTAATCATTGCAATCTGCTGGTGCTGGTGCTACCCCAAGAGGCAAAGTCTCCGTTTGCTCGGGACTTTCCCTGATCTCGACATTCTGCACGCTCTGGCGGTTGATTGCTTCGAGCCCTTAATTGCATGCTTCCTATGGCTCGGATCTTCGGTTTGTGTTGAATATTGTTGGCTGCTTTGCATCTGCAGCGTGCCTTAAAACTCAGCAGGGAAGCGCTAAACCATTTGCTTTCCGCTTTCCCGATCTGGGAGGCCGGCCGCTTGCCAAGCACCTCTGCCTTGAGAAACAATTGGCGTCACCAATGCACAGACCTCAAGCGTCTCCCACTTCGACCAGATCCTTCAAACCAGCTAGTGAAGCATGTAGCATCGTACAACAAGTTCATGATCAAAGCTCAACGTGCGAATCACATTTTATACGAGCACTCTGGCTAATGCTACCACAGGGTAGCCAACCATCCCCCAAAATGACAGCTTTCCTTGGTTTCCATCTTAACCGGCCCGAATTTCGGGGACCCTGAAAAACACACACACACAGACATACACCCACACACCCACACACTCACACACACACACACACCTGTCTTTGGAACCCCGGAGGGAGAGCACCTCGTAGTCCTTCTCTTGGACGCCGAATGCCTGCCGACTTCAGCCGCAAAAGCAAGACTGCGAAGCTCGTAGCTGGACACCTGACCAACTGGGCAGGGGTCACTGGATTTCCGATTCCCCTTGAAGTTTTATCTTGTTGGCAAAATCACGTACAAATGTCACTGTTGGAAGTTGGAGGTCCGAAAAAGAGAAATCGAGTGACCCCTGACTGGGTGGCGAAGTCTAGGAGCATTCAAAATGCGACCAGAGGATTCTGCCCCACTGATCATCCTCTGACCATTCACCAGCACCTCTGACACTTCTTAGCGGCTGTGCAAGCCGCCAGCTGCTTCCCTCAAAACCCTCTGCCGTCGGCAGCCAGCCAAGGAGCCAGTACCTCCCAATGCGACTTTCGTATATTTGCATTCTGAGAAAGGCATGCTTTAGAGCTGGTCATGCGGTCCTTCAGGAACCATCTGCCCGTAAGGGTGGCCGACATTGAGCCAGGATCCGGGCGCTTTTTGTCAAGCAGGTGCCCTAAAACATGGTGTCTTGCGTGTCTTTCCTTGCACCCGAATCTTGAACCCGCTTCTGTGGGGAGGTGTCCCTTGACATGCCCAGGAAGTGCTTGATAAGATGCAGCCCGCGGCTTGCCCAAACATTTGCTGGCAGTTGGTCAGCTTGCTGAAGGGCGCAAGTCATCCATGCTGCGAACCTTCTCAAATGCATCGTGCCATCTTCATGCCAGGCCAACCCTCTGCATGAGCCGGACCCAGCCGGCCCGCGGGCTTCTGATATCTTGAATCGTGCCGAGTTCATGGCACCCACGTTGGCATTCAAGCGTGTCCAATCTTGCTAAGACCTTTTAAGCCTTGCTAACAGGACAAACCTGAAGCAAATACCACAGGAAAACCTTTTGGATACGGGCAAATCCTCCCATCGCGGCGGCAAGGTCGAACCGCGCTCCAAAGAGGAGCCCCGGTCATACAAAAGAAGAAGAAGAGGGGTAATCATCTGATAGTGCAGAATAGCGAAGAACACAAGTCTATTTACTATTTGCTGTGTCCCTGAAGGATTGCCGGTGGGAAGTGCGATCCATAGTCATTCGATCCATTGAGCGAAAGCCGTTGTGCTTGGCAGCTGCACGGCGCGGGGCTCTGTTTCACGCCCGTCGTTCCTGTACACGTGTGACCTCTCACCGAAAGATGAGCAGCAGCAAAACGACTGGAGCTTTTCGGCTCCCCCTTGTCACGGCACATTTCAATCTCAGGAGCTTTCAGCGGCTCAACCCTGGTGAAGGGCTGTCTCAAAGGGTGCTTTTGTTGAAACAACACTGCCCTTGCCCCCTCAAACAGCTTCCCCCTCTTCGCGAGTTTGACCCCAAACAAATTGATCACCCTTTTGATGCGGCTCATGTGAAACGCAAGCTGGCTACAACCAGCCGCAAAAAACGCTCGGGCGGCCTCAGGAACGGACTCACCAAATTGCCTTGAATCATTCACTTGCCCAAAGTCATTCTTAGAATTTATTTTTGTTTGCTATTGGGCCGTGACTCGCAAAATCGCCCTGAAAGACTCACCGGCCAGACATTTCCCAGTCACTCCTTCCACTGTTCTGGGTTGGTGATTCAGTTGGGAACTAACCCACTGAACCACCCCTTTCGCAAGCCGCCGAAGCGCAGGGCGCAAACGCAACGCAGCCGCGCCCTTTATGGGCTAGACCTAAAGCAACGTATGTTGTGCCAGGAGTGACATACTGCCGGACTCTCGAGCTGGAAGGCTCGAAGCTGGCTAACTTGCCACCATCTGCAACTCTGCTTGACCTCAAACTGACTTCAAGGCCATCTCATGTGGGAACGCGCATCTCAAATACAAAATAAACACCCAATCCAGCCTGGCTACCCTACAGCCAATGTTCCGAGCTGGTCAGCGAGCAAGTTCCCAGTCACTCCGGTACGCCAGCGCAATGCCACCCGACTAGCTCAGCGGTTAAGCCTGAAGCACAGGCGCACGCTGCAAGAGATACGCTGGATTTCTATTGGTAAATTCCACAAAAAATCCACCGCCTGAAGTAACGTCAGCTCGTTTTACCCCCGAATGAGCTCGCCCCAGAAGACAGAGCATATGTCTTGCTAGCCTTGCCTAATTCATGAGCCTGCCGGTCTGAAGTCGGGTATTCATCCTTCAATACTCTCCTAGCCCACGCAACAAACGGAAATCAGACAGAACATTGGCAGCCATGCACTTGATTCGTTGATGGCGAGGCAAGCCGCAACCGGCCTTCTCTTCATCTCCGCCTTCCTTGGCCAGTCGCTAGCGCGCAACATGCAAGAACGGGCAGCGTGTACGCAACAGGAACGGGAACTGGAAGGAAACCAGGCAAACATATGAGGTGTAGCCCCAGCTAAGTCACTCCAGGAAGGATCGTTTTCAGGAAGCTCTCAATCTCAGGCGCTGACTGCTTCTCCATCCGGGCCTGGTCTCTTTCAACCTCGGATGGGAAGGCTTCGAGGGTCCTGTGGAAGGCGAATACAGCTCACACTGAGCCGGAGTCCTGCGAATTCTCAAGATAATTGAAATTTGGACCAGTCATACGAGTTACATGGGTGTGTCTAGGGGACCCGCCGAAGCTTCTAATTGATTTGTGTTTAAGCGCTTGAAACCATCTGACAAGGGTCTCTCCGTACTTTTAGCAAACCCATCATAGAAGCATGCTTGGCTGTTTGGCATCCATACTCCAACCCAGCCAAAGCTGAATCAACAAAAACCACCCTCCCATGCCTGTGGTACGATCCCGCCACTCCGGATACCATATCGGAGTGACATCACCACTGTACTTACGTCGCACAGGATCCAAAGCTGCTACTACGCCTCTAGCCGCTCAAACGAAACCTGACTGACGCCTGTGGCTTGTCAAGGGGCCTTTTGGCGTGTGGTATGGAAATTTGTTGTTCCCGGATATGCAATCTTCATGGATGAAGGATCCCAATGCTTGACTGCTTCGTTTGTCCGGGAAGGAGAGCAACCATGGCTAAATCAATCACAAGAGATCAACACATGTCCCCAATTTCAGCGAGCATGTGGACAACCATGCGCGGCTGGCGTCTGATTGCTGTTGGCCCTTTGCTTGCCATTGCTTGCGCATTGGGCTATGCACGGCTGAAGCTTGACCAAACATGCAAGGACGCCTCTTAAGTTGCCTAGTTCTTTCGTTGCCCCAGATCCAAACGTAGGGGTGTCTTTGTTCGAGGGTATTTGTTTGTGGTTGCTTTGCAGGGAAACTCACAGACAACCCTCTAAATGTGGGGGGGGGGGGGGGGGTGGGCTTCCATATCCTACTATTGTAGATGATGCAGAGGTCTTTCCAACAGGAAACAAACCAACAGCACCATGGATAACCTCGATTTGAAAGAAACGCGCATGCAGGATTCCACTTTTTGACTACCCCAAGGAACACTTAATCCCGGAAGTTCCTCTTTTGGGAGTAATGAGCCACCCTGGGTTAAGCCTATCCTGAACTGGACAAAAGTGGAACTTGGACATGACCGTTTGCAACCCGCAAAGTGCCAGTTGCCATCTCGCACCGCTGCTCAGCCGTCGGCGCTCTCCGCAATCTCTGGGATAATCCTCGGAGCATCCGTTGGCCGAAGTGCGGCCATTGCTTGTTCAATACTTGAGAACCATGCAACCGACTAATTAAACAGTACTTTCCCAGGCCCCAAATCCTCCAAGACTAGATTCCCTCTGTCCGTGTCTCTCTGTCTCTCTTTCTTTCTCTCTCTGTCTCTCTCCGTCAGGAAGCAATGAGCCACTCAAGCCCCTTCCAACCTTCAAGGCTAGGACTTCCTCGTGCCCAGCCAAGCTGGCCCAAAGCCACAACTTTCAGGAGCAATACATCAAAAAAGCCAAAAAACAAAAAAGAAGCTGATGGAGCCGCCGAGGCTATCAGCAGGTTCCCCCCCGATGCATGGTAATGCCCCTCCAGACGTTAGAATTTCTAGACCGCAAATCTCCCGCCGACCCGAACTCCAGTCTTACTGGGGGACATTTTGGAACCAACGCTATACCATGTTTGAGCCGATTCGACAACAGCACAAGTCCAAAGAATGACTTAGATTTACGCTGTTGAAATTCCTTGATTACTGGTCAGTGGAACATTTTTTGGGTCTGAAAGGGTGGATGTAATTTGGACAAGGACCGTAGCAGAACGCTCTTGGGGCACAGTTGGTCACAATTGTACCCTGCATCTATTCCGGGGCCGTGCTTGCTATTAAGGGGGAAGAGTTCAACATGGAGCCTGACCCGGGGTTACATGTTAGTTAGAAACCCCTTTGGCCAATGGTGCTGCAAGGAAACATGAAGCGAATCATAGTGTCATTTTATGATTGGTCCATAGGAGTGTTCCGCCTTCTTTGATTTGCTCCGATTTACGCATGCTGGAAATTTGCTAAGATCAAAAAAGAATCCCGCCAAATTAGCAAAGGGTCGCCTGCAAAAATGAAACATTGCTCCTAGTCATAAGCCAAAGGCTTACTATTCCGGTCTGCATACCACGTCTTTGAGCATTTTTGCAAGAAAGGGCACGAGGCAGCGGCTCGTTGTGATGGCCCAGCGTGTGCTTGATCTGCTGGCCTTGGCTGTTTACACAGGGTCCCGAAGTCATCGTCAGGCGTTGCTGGCCAGCCCGTTTGCCCGACAAACTGTAGGAAAACCAAAATCCTGACACATCCAGGTTTCAGGCGGCGGCTACCAATCGGCCCTAAGCTAGCCCAGCCATAACAAACCGAGCAAGGCTGGAACCCCCAGTATATTTGTTAAAGTGTGCGTGCAATGCCATCTCGACTTTCCTCATCTTGTTGGCAGTAGTTTGGTGCTTCTGAGTCTCATCTCACGGGGGGCTCAAAGCATATCTCATTGACACACCTGCCAGCATGCAAATGGTTGCTCCGCTGAGCACATTAAGAGGGTCTCCCAAAACAGCCAAACTTGTCCTCTGCAAAGGTGCTTTTGGATTCAATAAGCTTTCTGCTCCTTGCTTCCTGCTGGCCAGCTACAAGCACTCCAGGCAACCCGCTTTTTGTCAGCAGGCCCTCAAGCATGTTGTCGATCCTGGGGGTCCACGACGCGCAACGGCAGCAAAGCTCGAAGCGAGCGAACAGCCATCCAATCTGTGAATGCAGTCTGCGCATGTTTTTGTTCTTCTTTTTTTTCTTTTAAACAGTATGCCCCACTTCCTCAACGAACCCAAACAAGATGGGTGAGCTAATCAGGGATGAATTGTGTGGCAGAATGAAGGCACAAGCGCAGGGCGAAGAAACCCAAAGGAACTGCGCTGAGCAGCAACAAGTGGCAGGAATGTCCAAAACATGGCAGACTCCAACAAATAGCCCACCCAGCAACCAGTTTACAGCTTCGCATTGAGAGGTGGACCCTCCCAACTTGATTTGCCAGTTGTAAGACTTGTTTTCAGCCTGCTATATATTCAGCCCAACCACCATGTCCAACCTTGCAGTCCAAAATCAACCACGGACTCAAAACAGTACAGCAATGCAACATCCCCCACCCACCCGCCTCGCATCACGAGCGGGTCATCGGCCCGGAATGGACTCTGATTTTTTGGCCCTGCGTCCAAGTCCAAAAGGGCCATCAGCGCTCTTCAAAAAGAATCGAAGAGTATGACGCTGAGTGAGTAGCTAATAAGGCCCGACTATCCCAAAAAGCCCTCGCCACAGCCACAGCTTCCTGTGAACCTCTATGTGCAATCGTGCACCAACATCTGCTTTTTTCCTGGCACTGAGTCACTGAGCTAGCAAGGGTCCTCTGCTCATAGAAGCGCTTGCTAAACCCGTTGGTTGATGAGAGAGGGGTGATCAAGCAATGGTCGTTCACTGGAGTGAGTTGTCTTCCCGCATAAATTGGCGGGTTGAAAGGAACCTGGCCGTTCTTCTGCTCCATGCTAGTCCCCCCCGCCCCCGCAGCGGTATGTCTCAGGCTGGGACTGGTCGTAGGCCTTGTCCTGAGCCGGACTGCCGCGCGAGAACATTAAGCTTGCCCCTTCTTATTGCACCTCCCCAATTGACGTCGACTGCGACCATTCCAAGGATAACAATCTGTGAAAGGCAGCTTTAGCAACACAAGTCTGTGTTTACGTTCGGTGAGGCAGCACAAATTCGGTGCATGCGCGCATTCGACAAAGCAAACAAGCAAACAAACAACAAGAAAGCAAGCAAACAAACGACAGGTCACAGCACACATCATTGGAAGTTACATCTCTCAGTTTGGAGCTTTGCAGCGTGTCATCGCGATATTCGTCTAAACGCCGGGAAAAAAACACCTGCGTAACTTGGCAAGCTACCCCAACTAATCATGAACCCAAACATCTCATGGCAGCTTGACAGTTCACCGAGGGGGGGTCTGTCACTCTCTTTGCGCTGCTCCAGCTACACAGGGCAGCTAGCACTTAAGTTGAGCAGTGATCAAAGGCGGTTCACCGCTTTTGAGTGACACAATGATTTTAACATACCTTCATCAGCAGCAAGGCTATTGGCACTGCTCAGCTGGAGATGCTGCCTTCTGAAGCTCAGGCCCTTGCGATGTGCGGGTCTCTCTGGTCTGGTCTCTTCGCTCCTGCACCATCCCAAACTGGCCCACTCAAAGAAAGGTCATTCTCAGCTGCCAGCGAAGAGCTTGGCTCCACTGTGCGCTGTTACTTTGCATGGCCAACACCCCTACGAGCTTCATAGTCTTGCTTGTCTTTGGTCTTTGGCACACTGCAACAAACAAACAAAAAGGTGCCCCTGCATCATTGGAGATGTGCTTGAACACCCAGCCTTGAGATCTCCCGGTCGAAAGAAAGGCTGCACGGCCGGTATTTTTGCTGAATGCCCCTTTAAGACATCATCCTTCCAACAGCAAACCCTCTTCCCATTGAGGGACATTCAAGGACCCCGTGCCGGTGCCGGGAAAGGGAGCGGGTGGCAATGCCATTCCCGATGCCTGCCGCGCTACTGGAGGCGGAGGTTCGAGAAGCCTGGGGAAGGCTGAACGGGGCTGAGATTAGGTTCCGAAGGCCCCAGCAGTTCGAATGATAAACAGCACAACAATAACACAAATGAAGGAATGGGTGTTTCATATAAACAAGCAAATCAACAAACCAACAAACCAACAAACCAACAAACAAACAAACAAACAAACAATCAAAACAAAAAAACAAATCAACAAACAGACCAACAAACAAACAAACAAACAAACAAACAAACAAACAAACAAGCAAACAAACAAACAAACAAACAAACAAACAAACAAACAAACACACACAACAAACAAACAAACAAACAAACAAACAAACAAACACAACAAACAAACAAACAAACAAACAAACACACACACACAACAAGCAAACAAACAAACAAACACACACAACAAACAAACAAACAAACAAACAAACAAACAAACAAACAAACAAACAAACAAACAAACAAACAAACACACAAACAAACAAACAAACAAACAAACAAACAAACAAACAAACAAACAAACAAACAAACAAACAAACAAACAAACAAACAGACCAACAAAAAAACAAACAAACAAACAGACCAACAAAAAAACAAACAAACAAACACACACAACAAGCAAGCAAGCAAACAAACAAACAAACAAACAAACAAACAAAGAAAGAAAGAAAGAAAGAAAGAAAGAAAGAAAGAAAGAAACAAACAAACAAACACACAAACAAACAAACAAACAAACAAACAAATACACATGTCGGTGCGAAACAGGAGCTGCGCGCCATCATGTCAAACACCCATAATTAGTGACCTGGGCCCACCAACTCGGAGAAAAAACAACACACACACAAGACTGCTGAAGAAGTTGGCAGCACGCGTCTGCCTGAGTCAGTCCGCAACCCTCCGCTTGTGTTGGCTGCACTTCTGCATTGTCCAAACTTCAAACACAAGCTGATTCAGCATGCCTTAAAATTACCATAGCGAGTCACATGTCAATTATTGATCACTAACCCCTGAGAAGAATGATGTAAGAATGATGTATCTCTCCGATTGCGTTTGCAAAAAGGACCCAACGGCATCTTGCTTGACCACCGGCGAGGTAAACGAGTTCAGGTTGCTCTGACTGCGCGTCCGCGCCCTCCGCGCCGCTTCTTCCGCCATCAGGCGGGCAGCCCCTGCCAGACTCACGCTTGCAGGTGGCACATTCTCAGCTGTGAAAGTCATTTTTTGCCTATGGACTAAGCATCTTGACAAAGGCGAGCCCGATACGCGGGGCACAAACTGCGTGCACTGGTTCAAACCTTCATGGAACAAAACAGAACCTGGAACATAGAAGACACATTTCTCCGTGAAGTACTCCTTTGTATGGCCCGTTGGACTTCTGTTGCTCAAAAGTGGACATATCTAAACAAAAAACAAAACAAATCAAACAACAAAGCAACAACCGACACATATATATATATATTATTGGTTGGCCTTTGCCTGTGTTGTTGCAGCAACCCGAGGTGCCTTTGTGACTTGGCTTGATCCTCTCCCGTGACCAGCAAGAAGCAGCCGTCGTGCTTAGACGATCCGCAGTTGTGGTTCGCACAGACCCCCACTGAATCGGCAATGGTGGCCGCGCCTCGGCTGCCCTCTGGCGTGGCGGCTGGGTATCCTGCTGCGGCCTCGGGTTGAAAGGTGCGCACCTGCCCGCGTGCAAGCTGGATTGTTCAAAATGGGTCAAATGGGGGAGGGGCCACTCGAATCCTATCAGTTGGCACAAGGATGAAGCTGATTTTGAGCAAGCCAGGCAAGCAGGCAGCTATGCTCCCTGCCCCGCCTGGGAGCGGGCATGCAAGGCCCCAGCTTAGCAGACATTGGAAGGAGTTTGCGTGTTATCAAGCCTAGGCCACCTAAGGGAATACCTAGGCAAGCAGCAAACCGTTGACTACCTTTTCACACTGCTGTCAGTGATCTTGAAGTCTGTAGCGGCGGAGCATGTACAAGTACACTCATGCACAGGGTTGGAACCTGAATCCACACCCCCCTCATTTGAGATTGAGCAACAACGAAAATGTCGGCAGGTCTTGCAACCCGCTTTGATTCAACACGCACATCCGTTGCACGTTGAAAATGGACATTACACATCCGTCGTGCATGCAAACTGCTACTCTCACTCAGAAGGGCTCCGTTGTGTGGACGATTGCATTCACCACCTTCCGCTAGTAGACCAGCCACGCGAACTCCAGGTCGACCACTGCCAACTGCTCCAATCATGACTGCCCCAATCCCTCCAGCTACGACTTCTGGCAGCGGAGCTGGAGGCAGGCTGAGCAGGTTGCACAGGTCCGCGGGCGCGGTCCTCGGCGCTTTGCCTCTGGCTGCGCCATGCGAGCTTCTTCGCGTCGTCCTCCGCCCCGCAGCAAATCTCCTTGATTTCAGCTTCGAGGTCCTCGGCTCCGGTTGCCCGGAACGTAGGGAACTTTCCGCCAAAGGTGACAAGGTTGCGCATCCCCGGGAGGATGTTGACCTGGGCGACGAATTGATGAAGGCTCAGCATTTTCCCGTTATACGAGAATAGCCATGGAAACGAGCGCAGGCTGGTGTCATAGTCCCCGACCTGGCCTCCAGTGACGTAGACAGTCCTAACGTAATGGAGACCTCGTTTTCCATAGCCTGGCCCAACCCCCGAGAAGTCTCTGATCGTAACTTCGGGAAGGACGCAAAAGCGATAGATAGACATTTGGTAGAGGCTTTCGCGATTGTGTCCTTGCTCGACCATGCGAAGGGCAAAGGTTGCATCCTTGTCGAACCTATCCACCACATTGTCATATCCAAGCTTGCGAGCACTGCTATCGTAGTTCTTCCAGGCCTCAATCTGCTTGGCCTCAAGGATGTTGCTCCTCGCTTCGCAACATCAGCGTACCGATTTGCCAACGCGGTGACTCACCTCCTCGAGCATTTGCGCTCTCCGCTTTGCAGCTCTGAAGAGTTGGACATCATTGCCCTCTTTGGTGCTCTGTCCGCAACGCTGGCACTTGAGCTGCCCCTGCATCATGTCCTCGCCGCAGATGCTACAGTCCGTGTAGTGGACGGGCATGGCGAAGGTCTTGAACCTGACGACTGAGGAATCGGCCGCGGGTTGCCCCGGGCGAGTGACGGCCGTGTCCTCGTTCGTCTGCTCATCTTCGGGATTCGTGGCCCTGTTCCCCTCCGCGTCGGTCTGAAAGGCCTCATCTGCAGTCACAGTGACGGCTCGCCTTGCGGCGAGCGAGTCGACAGTCGTTTGGCTCTCCAATGCTTCAAGGCGAAGGGCGTTTCTCCAAAGCACTTCACCTGTCTGCGCATCTGTATAGTACAGGATGGCGTCATGACGTCAGACTCCGAAAGATTCTATGTTCCTGTGGACCGGGGGCTTAGTTTGCATCCCGGGGTTTGGTTTTTGGTGGTTTAAATGTGCCAGCGCTGAGCGGCAAGCGAGAGCCAAATGCCAATCAAGGACACAAAATAGTTTTGCCAGCTACTGCAACTGCAAGTGTCTGCCGTTTTGTTTGCGTGGTCCAAGTGCGCGGCGGCGAGCGAGTGACAAATGACAATAGCACAAGGAGTAGTTTTGCCAGCTACTATGGCTGCTGCAAGTGGCTGCAAGTGGCCGCGCCATCTGGAAAAATGACACAATAATAGTTTTGTCAGCTACTGCAGCTGCTGCACTGTCCTGGTTGAGCCAAACGACCCCCTTACTGACACTATATGTACGCATGTTAATGCATATATGTATAATATATTATATATATATGTGTGTACATGCATACATGGACGGGTGCCTCCCACCAAAAAGTTCGAACCTTGTTTCGACCCACGAGGGACGGGGCAACATCGCTCGGCAAGTGGCCGTTTTGGCAAACAGTCAGCCAGCCATGGAGATCCAAAATGGAACTTAATGTTCTCCAGGCCTGGACAAAACCTCGCATTTTTCCCTTATGGCCACCCGCACCCGGAGGCGCTTTTTCGCAAAGCGTTGCTGTTGCACCGCGTCACGGCGTCACTCCTTGGCAGGGGGCCCAGTGACAAGACTGGGGGCTTTTCACTTTCGAAAGTTGCCCAGGAAGTGCCACACCAATCGATTGATTTGATCTACAAGCAGGCCGTCGCCGAGAACTGGGCAACATTGACCATGTGTGTTTGTTTGCAGTTTTTTTTTAAAGTGAAAAGCGCTGACCAAGGAGCCTCTGCCTGGCAGATTTGAGAGGGTCAAACCCGTGGGTCATCTAGCCTTCCACTGAGCACACCATGTCGCGCCAGGCAGCTTCCCCCAAAGGTTTTTTTTTATGCGGCAACTCTTCTGTCAGGTATCCAGATCTCGATCGCCAGCCCGCACATGCTCGACCCCAAAGCGCCGTTTGGCTGGGCTCTCAATTCAAGGGATTGGAACAAGTTTTTTCGGTGGAGGGGAAAACCTCTCAGGCCCGTGGGCAACTTCGTCGATTGGTCGCCCCCTGAAAGAGTCAATCATGTTTCTGTTAGCCATCACGGCAAAGGTTCGCTCGACATGTGCATTTCTTAGGATGCGTTTTTGTTGGAGCTCTCCTCGCCAGAGCACCGCGTCTGCATTCATAGTTGTAAACTTGCGCATTTGTCTGAACCAGCTCATGCTCTGTCAAGGACCGGTCTCTCTACTCAAGAAGCCATGCTCTTATTCCAAGCAATCATTTTATCCAATGGATGCTGAACATGTTGCGCCCAGGAAACCAGAACGCCCTCCTCTTGTCCCAGCGAGACTTTGGAGGCAGGAAAAAGCAGGCCGCTGTTGCAACACATGGGTTTCAAAACCAACAAACATTTCTGTTTCGCAGGATAGTCCCGACACTTTGGAAGAAGAAGCCGCTTGGAACAGAGTTGCCCGGTCCTCAGCTTACACTTCGTGGGCTGGCTCTTGAACAGCCCCTAAGTTCTTGGAAGTTTGAAAGCGGCTCTTCGCCCTCAAGGTGATGAACGCTGTCGCGTCCCAAGTCCCAAGTCATTTCAAGAAAACGATCAAACTGCAGATCTGCAGGTCAAGGCATTCGTGAATTCTCCGACTGCAGGGGCCCAGCCAGTAGACTCTTGCAGAAGGCTTTCTGAGATGCTAGGGGAAGCCTGCTTCCGACTTGATGGGGATGGAAGTGTGGCTTCGTTAGACCCCTCCTTTTTGGAGTCTTCTTAGTTCTTTCGCAGCGGGGCTAACTAAGCTGCAGGGGAGTCGCGACAAGTCAAAAAACATGCAGCATCATGCTTTGCTTGAACTTGACAAGAGCACATGCTTGTTGCATACTGCATCCTTGATGTTGATGGTGATTGAAAATGAAATGGAAGCCCCTCTCAGCACTTGGCAAAGGGGATCAAACCTGCTTGTGATGCCTTTGGAGCCCGTCGAGACTCTGAGCGAGCCGCGTCCCCAGAGCCCATCCCTGGTTCCCGCACCCCTTGAAACCTTGCTATGCCAAGTATCGAAGCCGAAGCAGCCCACGTGCTCAACGTCAAGGCGCCAAGCTCAGCCAGCGAAGCTTTCCTTGGATACACACACGCGTGCCGCCAGGCTCTCGGGAGGCTCCCGCTGTTTGGAATCCTTCGGAAAAGATACGGCCAGTTCGAAGCCTACCGCCCGGCGTGTGGGAAGCAAGTCCCCAGGAGAAAATTCAAGTTGACCCTCGCCCCACTTGCTCGTTTGAGCGGTCTTTTTGGATGTCCGTGTGCTCAACCATGGCAGGTGCCGTGCAAACCGAAGCCAAAAGCGCGGCTTCCACGAAAAGGGAAGCTGGTGAAGAAACCGATCACTTTGAAGTCTTTTGGAACAGTGAGTTTGGCCCTAAACTTGAAATGAAAACTGCTCACGGTCACCCTGCAAATTGAGGAGTGTTCGGAGCTACCACACGGGCGTGCCAGAAATACTTATCGGTGCGTGGATCTCGGGACCCCTGTGCTGCGCATGTCCAATGGACAAATGTTATTCGGTTCAACCTGCTTGCAGGACGTGGCCACCCAAATTTACTTCTGGTCTGACTACAAGAAAGAATGCAACTCCAAGATTCTCAAGCGGGGGAAATTCTTGAATCCCATCGTGGCAGAGTTCATGGCAGGCAAGCAATTTACACATGTTCACCAACGCGTGTCTTTAAATGGTCAAGGCTTCCGAATTTGCGCTTTGCGGCCAGGGATTCCGAAGGGCTGGTCGCTCTCAACCCCGGGCAGCGTGACGAAGGACAGCATCCGCAAGGTGGCGCCCTGGTTGGTCTTGGAGGCCTGGCCGATCGATAGCACGACGGGTGAAACAATCCTGGACCTTGGAGGAGAAAGGGCCTCGCCGACACAACGTGGTCTCGATGTTTAGTGGAGTTCTGGGGCTTGACATAGCTCTGCATTCGTTGGGGCCTCAAACATTCTACTTTGTTTCGCATTGTTTCCTGAAAAATTGAGGTGGTGCAAGAGCATCGCGTATGTTGAGCCCTTAGCCAGATCAACGGTTCTTCAATTTCTGCGAGCAATACCAAGGTGGAAAGCGATGCGTACTGCCGACAAGTCATTGCTGCCCGCATGCAGGATGGCTACGCTGATCCCGGCCCAATCTTTGGAGATATCACCACAGTGTGGAAATCCAACATCATCGACGAGCAGGTTGACGGCTTGATCGGGGGGTTCCCCTGTCAGGCCGGTTACCACACTCCAGTTTTTGCCTTTGCAAACAGTTTGCCGTCAGGGGGCGAGCCGGGCGGGCAAGCGCTTGGCATGTCGGATGACCGAACTGCTTTGGTGCGCCACTGCTGGTATCTGTTTGACAGCACACAGGCGTCCCTGCCTAAGACTTGATCTAACCATGCATTTGTTGGGGAATCCTTCTGAAGGAAATTCATGCTCTTGGAGAACGTGGGCAACGTCATCAGGATGGATGACGTCATGGACTTCCTAAGGATGGTCGAGCCCCAAGATGTTTGAATTTGACCGTCCGTGCGATCTGCGACCAAGGAATGCCTTCACCGCAACCTCCGCATGAGATACTCGGTGGTGAATGGACACAATGTCGGCGCTCAGGCCAGGGGCTCAAACAGCCCGTTCATCACACCTTTTGAGCAAAGAGATAAACTTCAAGAGTCCGTGAAACTACTTTTCCAGGTCTGGCGGCAGCGGTGCTTCATTTTGATTGAGCAGCAGAACTTCGACTTTTTTGAGGCAAACTTTGCTGGGGATATGAGCTCTGATCAAACACTGTGTGTCGAGGGCCACACGCTCCAGGACAAGACGGACTTGAACGCACTCCCTGCCAAAGACTGGTTTCCCGGGTCCAAGCCTGCCCTGCATAAGTGGCTGTGTTTTGAGCAGTCCGAGGTAGACGCGAAGCGTCTGAAAACTCTTGGCAATGTGGTTATGCCCCATGTTTGCCGGTTTGCACTTCAGATTTTGGGGTGGCAAGCCCGCTGCTGATTCAAATTTAAATTGGTTGCAATTCAAGATCAACATTCGGGATTGGGGGAGCTCCGCAAAAAACGCACCGAGTGATTCGCAGACCCAGCCATTGCACACATGATCTTGGAAAACCCTGTCAACGCAACACCCGCTGTTGGTCCAACGTGCCCCGCCTCCCGTCTCGCCGCCTTTGCTTTGCAGCAGTTCCAGATGTCAGCACCAGCGTCAGCCTGAGATCATGACATGTCTGACATGGCTTTTGCTTGACTGCCAGCGTTTGGAAAGGGGCTTTTCTTGATGCCTGCAGGTGGGCGTGAATTTCGAACAAGCATCAGCTCCTCCCTCACCAACTTCAGGTGATGCCCCTTGAGGTGTTCACTTGAATTGCTGCCAAGTCGACACAGCCCCGCTGCATCCCTGGAGGCCACCCTCTTCTTGGCAGAGTTTGCCGGCAGCAGCCTCAGATGAAGCCGTACTGGTTCCTGTGTAGATGCGTTGAGGCCTCCTGGGTTTTTTGTTTTGGCCTCATTGACCTGCCACGCATGTCAATCATTTAAAGTTCAGACATCAAAGGTCATGAAGCCTCACCACGAACAGCTGCAACCTGTGAGTCTGACTTCGATCGGCCGAGCCCTCAATTCACATGGGTCTGTCAGTTCACATGGGGTTAGACAAGGGGGTGAGCCGCGCGGTATCCCAGGGCGTGCCGACCAAAGCGCTTTTGGAGATGCTGGGATGAGGCCCGAAACCCGGGTTGTGGTTAAACCAGAAGCATAACCAGCACCGATTCGCCCCAACTTATCATCATCCGCCATCATCAGCTGTGGTTGAACCTCCTTGCATCCTTGGCTCGCCACCCGTCGTTGTCGTTGGCTGAATCGCCACTGATTGGTGCCCCAATCTCGTTGACTTGATGTTCATTCAGTGTTCGTTTTTCTGAGAGAAGCTATCGCCAGGCCGCCGTCGTTCGTTATCGGGCTGTGAGCCTATCGCCAGCGCCATCGTCAGCATTGTCTTCGTCGCCGTCTAGAACGGTTTGCGACAGCAGCAGCATCACTAGAGCCCGCGCGCGCAGTCCTCCGTGTCATCATCGCCTCTTGTGTCCTTGTTCGATCGCTGTGATTTCTTTTCCGTGCCATCGGCAGAAGGGTCCCTGCCATCGTTATTACTGGTATCTCAGTAAGTCAAGGTCTCCCACATCACCATCGCCAGCGCTTGTCAGAACGCTCATCGCCAACATGAGGTGTCTCCACTGCCAACAAATCAAAGCACTATCGCTTCCCTGACAAGCCTTCTTTTGGAGAATGCGTCCAAACTGATGCCTCCCGCAGCCGGCCATTGTATTGTTTTTGCGTACCACCAGCAATTGAATTGGAAGTGTTTCCTGTTTTCTCTCCTGCTTTTCAAATCTTCTTCAACTTGTTGACTTGGCAACCCATCAAAGCCCTTCAGCCCTAGACATGAGGGGAATGGTGCGTAAATCGGGGCACCTTTGGGTCTAAACATGTTTCGGGTGAGAAATGCTTTTAGTTCGTGTAACTTCTGGCCACAAAACAAGCGCAAGCAGAAACCTGCGAACGAGCGCAAATCCCCAAATGTGGGTCAATTGGCAAATCAGGGATCGGTTTAGCTTCAAAGAAATACGCAAGCGCCTCAAAGGGACACCCTTTGTACAATGTCAGAAATCCCCCGCAGACAGCGACGTTCGTACTAGAAAGCCCATTTTCTCCAATTGTACCCAATTTCTCCATTTTCTGACTTCCCCCAAGATTGCTCGGAGCCATCACCAGGAGGCCCGGGACGCCTTTGTCGTGGACGGCGCCCAGATTGGACAGAAGCCCTCGCCTTGGGATTCACAAGTTGCAAGTTGCTGCACAACTTCTGATTTTACTGGCTGAGATCTGCCGGATGGATCAGCATGCTTGAGGCCAGCTTGGTTTGTAGCACGCGCTTTGACTTTGACTCTGCTGTGCACAGGAGTTCCACATGATGAATTGCCATCCCAGCGTCTGAAGCAGATCCACAGGTCGCTGGCCCAGAGCAGGAGCCACGCCTGCGTGTCCAGGGCATGCTTTGCTCTCAAGGTAATCATGGAGAAGTTCAGAGAAAACTGAGCGGGCGCTTCCCTTGCAACTCAACCCACCCTAACGAATTGCAGGCGGTGAAAGGTTGAACGATTGCCCGGGTTGGGTTGGTGTCAGATTCGGCAACCGT